GTGAAACAAATGCAGTTGCCAGTACATTGTGTCGGTGCTTGTGAGGGAGGGGAGGAGGGGAAGGGGGCTCCATGGGCCTAGGAGCGCAAGGATGTACCGTGCAGAGGTTCGCAAGAAATGTAATATCTCGAGAACGACAAAAAAAACTTTTTATCGACGGTCGTTCCATTTAGGGGACAGTTTTAGCTACATTTTGAGCCATAGTACGCCTTATTCCATTAACTATCACATTTTTAAAACTTGTAGTCAAAGCTTCAACTTTTAATTACTTTTTCCGACTTTGTCCAAGACAGTTTTTTTAAAAACACTTTTTCTTTCTTTATTCATCCTCGAGTCGTTTTTTCTCGAAATTTTAAGGGGGGCCAGTAAAGTCCAAACGATTGCCGAAAAAATTCGTAAAAACGGCCCCGGCCCTGTACGGCAAACGGTCCGACATATGTATCGAAAAAAAAAAAAAAACCCTGTGGCATATGTTTTTTTAAAAGTAGGACCCCCAACTGACAAGTGTTCCACATTTTTCGTGGAGGTAGATGGTCTATCATTTGCTGCGTTGGTAAAATATTGCTCATATTTCTACTTGTGCCAAGTATTGTTTTGGCATAGAAAACGTACTTTACGTTCACCCTATCGCCGATCCGGCTCCATACAGACATGATACGCTTACCAGCGATGAATTGACACACAATTTAACCAACGAGAGGCTCACGACTTCGATATGCCAAAATAAAACTGCACAAACGGGCCAAAAGACAAATTTTTCACCTTTTTTAAATAGTAGGGTCAGGAAGGACTTAACTTAAAAAAATTAAAAAAATATTTTTGAAAATGTCATCTAAAAAGGCAACCAGACCGCACTATTAAAACTTCGAGATCGAAAAAAGTGCATCGAAGACTCACCCTAGGGCAGGGCCCGGGCTACTCGGGGCAGCTCTACAATTCAGATTCGCAATCAGATGTGTACACGGATTGTAGAAGTAGATAAGGGAAAGGGGTAGGAGGAAGGCCCCTGTGATTAAAATTAATCGTTCTTTGCAAATCAATATTAATTTTGCTGGAAATCCGGGGCTTGCGAGGTCAAGTGTTTAAACACAAACGCACGCGGCGTCAACATGTTTAACTAAGATTTTGCAGAAACATCAGGGGGTCAAGCCTGAGCGGCCGCAATTTCTTTGTTAGCATTGTGATATCATGACTGTCCTTCATGTCTTTCCGTAGCATTAAGTTCGGTTGCAACTCACATTATTTGAAAAGGGGTAGTAAATCTGCGAAAAATATTTTCTGCAGGGGCGAGGGGCGTGGCGAGTGTTTTTTGGCGCGCCTTACTGAGAGGGTGGTCGGTGGTGTGCTAGTACGGTGGTTGGTAACGGCAGGCACAGGAGCACACCCTCCTCTCTCTCTTCTTTTTTTTTTATTCGTAAATTTGATGTTGGCCGGCGGCCACACTCTTGCCAGCTTTAATAAAAGATCGGTGAGCCCGCTGGCCGAGACGGCAGGCATGCAGGGATGATGGGGTGTTTGGCGTGGGCGGGTAGGTAGAAATTTCATCCGAATTGGTGGTAGTTTTCGGCGTTCCACGAGGGCGCGCCTTAGGCGTTTGGTAGGAGGACGGCTAAGTCGCCTGCACCCGAAAATTACTTGTCTTCGTCGTTTGGTCGTTTGGTGGGAGGACGCGTTCCCTCATAGCATATCTTGGGAAAAATTCATTTGCATTGACCACAAAGACTTGCCCAAACGGCGCCGGAGCAACTGGCCGGGGTGTGGTGCTGCTACGCATCTTGGGCCTACCACAGCCACTCTGCTGTGCCAACCCAGCCCCCCCCCCCCCCCCGATAAAACGAAAGGGGTCTATGGGCAAATAGATCTTGCAAGTCTATATGGGTAACGCCATGCATTTTATTCAAGGTGCTATAAGAGAACGCCAAGGCTTGCTCTGGTGGAACGCCCCCTCATGCGTCCCCTCACGAAACGACAAAATGACAAGTAATTTTTGGGTGCAAGCGTCTGAGGCGGTCTCTCACAGAACACCTTAGGTTTCACAGTGTTTACCCATCCACTTTTCATCCAAACCTCTCTTTCGCGGGTGGCATCGCGTCGGGGCCGCAGCCATGAGGCCCACAGTTGTGCAGCCGCCGTCGGCGGCAGATGACAGCAGTGTGGCACTAACGAGCGGAATCAAATTAATTCCCCAATTAGGTCACGAGCTCCTGAGCACGCGGTGGAGGGGGTGGTGGGCGTGGCGGGGCGCTGGCGCGCGATTTTCTTTGATCTCGCGTCCCGCTCGCGGTGACTAACGCGGGTGGGTTCTACGCTCTAACAGGGTATACTCCTCGCGGCTCGGCTTAACCGGAAGAAGAAGAAGAAGAACAGAGAAACGGGGAGTCCGGACACGTCCACGAAACGCCGTTTTATCCTGGTGTGGTACAGGAGCAGTCGACTTGCAATAGCGGCGGTATGCTGACGTTTTCCATATCCCGCGCCACAGATGAAACGAGCCGCGATCCCTATCCACAGAGGAGCTCGTCAAGGAACGTCTCGGCGCTGCTTTAGTCGCGGGGATGGCCCATGGAAAGGACGTCCTTTATTTTACTCCCATTCATTCATGCGGCAAATGACTGGAGCTGGGCGCCTGCGGGACGCAGGGTAGGCCAGCCCGCGGCGCACTCATGCAATGCAGGCGAGACGCTGCCTAACTGTCAGGCGCTCTGAGAGCCCGCCCAACCCAGAGGCTGGACTTGGCAGTTTTTCGTAAACGGCTTGTTTTCCTCTTTTGCGCAGCGTGTGGCTGATCAAGGCGCTGTACCGCGCCAATCGGCGGAAGGCGCAGCTGCGGGGGTACAGCGCCGTGGCGGTGCTCAGCGTGCAGAACGGCAGCTGCGGCGGGCAGCAGGTGCAGCAGATGCAGCAGCTGCGCCGGCCCACGCGCGCCGAGCGTCGCACGGACCGCACCACGAAGATGCTCCTCGCCATCCTGTTGCTCTTCCTCATTACCGAGTTCCCACAGGTAAACTAGATCCAACAACCGTCTTTTTCTTTTCTCTTTTATACTTCATTTTTTCTGATTTTTTAAGTATGTATAGATGATTTCATCAGGAAGCACTTTTTTCTCTTCGTTCTTTTGCAGGGTATCCTAGGCCTGCTGAGCGGCATCCTGGGCCACAGCTTCTTCAGCAGCTGCTACCACCTGTTCGGCGAGGTCATGGACATCCTGGCGCTGCTCAACGGCGCCATCAACTTCATCCTATACTGTGCCATGAGCCGGCAGTTCCGCACGACGTTCGGCCAGCTGTTCAAGCCGCGGGGCCTCATGGCCAAGCTGCACGCTGTGCACGGGCCCAACACCTCGCAAACCGAGGTAGGCTCATTAGTGTACCCCACGAGTTGTCCTTACCTTAAATTCGTGTGTTTTATTTCTCCCTTTTTTTTGAAAAAGCTGTTGTCTTGTTTTCCTCTTTTGGATTTTCTCTCGATTTTTTGGAGGTTGCACATTGATGTTTTTGTGAAGTAGCCCTCGGTTGCCTTTCACCCCCTTTTTAGAAAATTTTCACAAAACACTTTTCGTTTCTTAAATCATGTTTTATTTGTAAGTTGTCACACACCGCTTGCTTTAACAGTGTATGTGCACCACCTGCCCCTCCCACACCCCAGTGCACAATCTCGCCGCGTCTCGTTCCGCGCTCTCGACCTATTCACCCCCTCCACGTCCCTCACCCCC